ATGAATTTGTGTAAATAAATAAAATAGTATATACTTTATTTTTTTCTTATTATATATGTAAATTTTAAGTATATACATAGCAAATATATAATAAATATAGTTAAAAAAAAAAATATAGAATGTATGTATATTTTTATTATATAAGGTAGAAAGAGGTAATTTGGCGACTCTATCCCTATTTCTAGCTAAAACACCACACTTCTAACCCGATCCCTAACCCTAACCTTATTTCTAACTAAATACTATACCTAACTCTATTTCTAACGAAAACAGCAAAACGGATTCACAAATCGACATAAATACTTATCCATCATTACATAGTACCCTTCGAATCATTTCATTCACGCGTTCAGCCTGTGAATATAAGAATCATTGTTAATCGATAAAGTTAAAAAGCATTTAAACCAAGAACATAAATATTTATTACCATTACCTAATACTCTTCAGATCATTTCCTTCGCATTAATCATTTTATTCAGTTCGTGAGTATAAAGATCGACTATTAGTCAATAGAATTAAACAGCAAAACAAGTTCAAAAATCATGAGCATAAATACTTATTTTCCCTATTACCTAATACCATTTAGATCATTTCCTCCGCATTAATCGTTTCATTCAGTTCGTGAATATAAAGATCGATTATTAGTCAATGGAATTAAAACAGCAAAACAAGTTCAAAATCATGGGTATAAATACTTATTTTCCCCATTACTTAATACCCTTCATATCTTTCTTCGCATTAATCGTTTTATTCTGTTCGTGAGTATAAATATGATTATTAGTCAATAGAATTAAAACAGTAAAACAAGTTCACAAATCTTGAACATAAATACTTATTCTTGATTACCTGATACCCTTCAGATCATTTCCTTCGTGAAGTATGATGATCGTTTATTAGTCAATGGAATTAAAACAGCAAAATAAGTTCGCAAATCACGAGCATAAATACTTAGATCATTTCCTTCGCATTAATCATTTCATTCGGCTCATAAGAATAAAGATCGGTTATTAGTCAATGGAATTAAAACAGCAAAACAAGTTCAAAAATCATGAGCATAAATACTTATTTTTCTCATTACCTAATGCTCTTCAGATCATTTTCTTCGCATTAATCGTTTCATTCGGTTCGTGAGTATAAAGATCGATTATTAGTCAATGGAATTAAAACAGCAAAACAAGGTCAAAAATCAGAGCATAAATACTTATTTTCCCCATTACCTAATATCCTTCGGATCATTTCCTTCGCATTAATCGTTTCATACGGTTCGTGAGTGTAAAGTCGATTATTGGTCGATAGAATTAAAACAGCAAAACAAGTTCGTAAATCTTGAGTATAAATACTTATTCTGATACCCTTCAGATCGGTTCGTGAGTATGAAGATCGTTTGTCAGTCAATGGAATTAAAACAGCAAAACAAGTTCAAAATCATGAGCATAAATACTTATTTTCCCCAGTACCTAATACCCTTCAGATCATTTTCTTCGCATTTATTAGTTAATGGAATTTAAAACAGCAAAACAAGCTCAAAAATCATGAGCATAAATACTTATTTTCCTATCTCCTGTGATTTTTGATAATCAATGAATATCTTATGCTCATCCTATTCGACTCTAGTTCCATTCTTATAACAGTTGTCGTGCCTATCCAGTTTTAAGTCTAATTCAAACAACGAAGTAAGAAAACGAAAAGTATAAATAAATAAACAAAAAAAAAACCCCCCAAATTTATCATACATGTCATTCCCAGTTCCAATACTAATTCCTGACTAATTGAAGCAATCTGACGAAGAAAACAAGATAGCTTTACCAGAGACAAAGATAAAAAAATAGAACCGCCAATAATACTTATTATGTCATATCCGTCTCGATTCCAACAATCCCAAGTTCGGCTCTAATTCTCTGATAAAAGGAGGAAAATTTGTTAAAAAATATTAAAAAAAAAAAATCTTTCCTGAACTCGTATATTTCATTAACGACCCCGTCGCTAATATTTGATAATAAAATGAATGTCCTATGTTCACACTTTTCGATTCCCATTTCCATCCTTATAACAGTTGTCAAGTGCGAATATTCAATCAGCATCCCTGTCTTTGCTGATATTTGATAATAAATAAATGCCTTATGTACATGCTTTTTATAACAGTTACCAAGTACAAGTACTCCTAGTATCCCCGTCTTTACTGATTTTTGATAATCTTGAATGCTTCTTTTCAACTCCAATCCCATTAAGATAGCAACATCCAACATTGAAAATTCCATAGTAGAGATTACTTAAAAAAAAACTACAACGCACTATATGCTGTACAAAAATGATCCTTGAGTAAACTTAGCAAATAATTGATGATATCTTGTAATCCAGTGATCAGAATCGGGTGAACTTTGTACCATTCGATTCATCTCATCGAGACAAATCGAATGGTATAAAAATTATTCGATTCTGATCATTAGATCACGGGATATCTAAATTCATCAAATTACCCCTCTTCGTCAAATTACCCCTTTCTACCTTATACTTGTAATTACTAGCATTCCAACTTTTTTTTTGAACCCCACCGAAGCATTACAACTTTATTAAATTGTATTGTCATTATTATATATATTAATATTTTTACATGTTATTTCATTAGGAATATTATTAATTAAGTAAAAAATTTGTCGATTTTCAAATACTAATATATCATAAACAACGGGCTTATTTTTTTTACCACCTCCCATTGTAGTTCCTCCAAAAAACAATTTAACCTAAATATAAGTAATAGGTAAGTTAATGTTTAAACTTTAAAAAATAAAAGTTTAATTTAAAATACCTGATTGTGATTTTTTTTTTCAATACTGCTAGTTGAAAATAATCTAAGCGAAAGTCCTTTTTTTTTTAATTGTCGCATAAAATAAGGCACATGCATTGTAAGCATATGCATATACGGTGTGATATCTTCTTTTCTATAAAGTCCAGGAATTGCAGTTGCAGTATTCATTTGACCAACAGTGGGTCGACAAAATGTTCTTACCCAATTTTTTGCATCTTCTTCAAATTTTAAAATTTCTTCTTCAGTATTAGTTGGTTTTTTTAAAAGTTCATATAACCGATAAAATTCTCGCCACAAATTTTCAATATCTATTCCACGTGCTCCAGATATAAATTCATTTACAGGAAAATGCTGTAGCATTTTTTTTTTATCGGGTCCCGTAAGTGATGTCCAACTCCAATTACTTCGAGCAGAATTACTACGATAAAATTCAAAATGAATATTAAGCTCATTCATTTTTTTTTCAATTTTTTTTTTAAAATTTCGTTCAAAATCATTTTTTTTAATTAAATCGTTGAATAAACATTCCATCAATACATCAGATATTCGTAATAAGATGTGTAATTCGTCAGGAACATAATTAAGTAAATCGATTACTGGAAATACAGATGGTCTTTTTTTTCCTAATTAATAAATTAAATTTATAGTATTATATTGATTATTTGTAAAACAATTTTAAAAAATTAACAAATACCTTTAGTATTTCCAGTAGGTGGCCATAAAAGATTCATATTATAACGAGATTTTATATCACATTCGCAAAATAAGCAAAAATATTCAGAGTTTGGCGCATTTAAACCCATAATAATATAGGTAAATTTCCAATCACCAGAAAAGTAAAATTCGATTGACCAATGAATACCATCATTATCAATTATTCCATGTTCTTTTAAATCAGCTAACTGTAAAGCAAATATCTTGCCAACTTTATCTAGTACTTCATACTTTTCTTTACCCACGTAAAGACATATACTAAAATAATAAAATTAATTTTATTTATTATATTAATTTATAATACATATATAAAAAAAGTATACCTAAATTGATGACTTGGTTTAAGTACTTTTTCTCCCTCATTTAATAAACAAAACGTTACCATTACATGGTTTTGCTTTCGTCCGACATTCCTACCGTCCCCACCAAGTTTTATATAAAGAGTATCACCTGGAGTTATTACTGGATTTTCTCCTGATTTCCATATAGGTATTAATATTTTAAGTAAAGTTGTAAGAGAACGAAATGCTCCATTTCCAATTTCGTTATTATCTACTAAAATATCACTAATATGCTCGATAAAATCATTATCTTGATCAACATCTTGATTTATATTAAAAATTCCCACTCGTATTTGAGTATTTATTAGTTCATTTATTTGATTTCGACGATTAGCAACTAAGTATTCACGAAATAGTGTAGGTACAACTGCTGCTAAATGTCTATATCCATCACGGCCTAAAAGTGCTTCATCACATACACGTACAATGGCATCAAGTCTTGTTTGTGTAGTTGTAGGATTTAAATCATTAAATTTAATTCGAACTGGATCTTCTTTATAATCAAGCTCTATACTACGTATATATACAATTGGTTGTCCAAATAAGTTTGTTAATCTATGTTTGATAATCAATTGGTCAACTTCTTTTTGAATATCATTTCCAAAACTATTAAACCGTTTATTTAGTTGTGATCGTGAGGTAATATCTTCAAGAGGCCTTTTTCGTTTATCAATTCTTATTTTAGGACAAGAAATTTGTATACGAGCATTATACAATGGCTCAATATCAAAGCCAAAAATTCGAGGTCCAGAAAGTTTAGAACGTTTCCAATTAATTTTCTAATAATATAATAATAATTTAATTAATCATATAAATTTACATAATATTGTTAAATTTCATCTACCCTAACTACTAACTAACCAATTTATAGAATTTTGTTTGTTATAGTTATAATATAATAGAAATTATATATCGGGTAACTTTAATTTGAGTAAAATAAAATTTTTCAAAAATATTAACTAGATATTATACCTGTAAATATGTATTAATAACTGCTGTAGATGATTTTGTACTATATACACTATATTCTGCACGATCTTCTTTCCAAATAATTGTATATTGTACTTTTAAACTTGAAATATATTTAGTTTCACATCTAAGATTTTGCTCAGCAAGTGTTGTTTCAACAACATAATTATCGGGTATTGGATATTGAGGTGTATTATTCCAGCCATTTTTTTGAGTTAATTTTGGTGTTGCGGGATATGTTCCCAAAGAAATAATATTATAATATGAGTAGTATAATCGCCCATTTGATTCATAATGTGCTTCAATCTTTGGACTATTTGGATAGTCATGTACAAAAATACGGCTAGAAAAAGAATTTGCTAATAAATTTTTTTTTAAAATTAATTTTATATTATTAAAATATTGATATATATATTTTTTTTATTAAATAAATACCTTCTATACCTTGATTTATTATCATTATAGCTTGATTATTTTCACAGTTTGAAATTATTTTTGTGTTTTGAAACCCTAGAATACTTTTTTTTAGTTTTAATAAAACAGAACAATAGATTTTTTTTGAAGTGTAAATTACCGATTTCACCAAAAACAAATTCCCAACAAATTCCAAGAACGCGATTCCAGTATATTAAACTTTCAACGATTGGCACAAATTCTTCACAGTTGTTATTGCTTTACATATTGTCACACATTATCACATGTTTAGTATTTTTTGTATTACATATTACAATAAGAAATCATAATTATCACCAAAATTTAATTA